CTCCTCCGCCTTGAGTCCGCGGCCCCAGCACTTGTCCGTCTTTGGGACAGGTGTCCACTGGGGCCAGGCGTGTCGACCGAACGTCCAGACAGGAATACGATCGGATCGAGGTATAAGATCGAGGTCGGTTCGGGGTGGGCACCCTAATATAATTCGTGTTTGTCCGATGCTCTTGCGCATCCTGGGGGAGGGCACCCTCAAAGGTTCTTCAGCTTGGCTGGCGGAGGAGTTCATGCTCTTGAAGGATGTTCTTCTGGCCTGAATCCAGCCGCATCTGTGGCGCAGTCTGCGCGGCTCAGTTCGCCTTGCCGAACTTGAAATTGACGGGGGGGGGGGCATCGGGGGTTCGGGGCCTTCCGCCTGAGTTCGGGGGCGGCAAAGAGGGGGGTGATGACTAGAGGGGGGTGGATATCATGGCGGGGGCCATGACATTTCTCCAGATTTCATGGCGCCTCCTCTTGTTTCATTACGTCCCTGGCCCCCCCCAAAGGGCCGCGCACATGCCGCCGGCCATGATTTGTGCCCCCCCCTCTTGGCCGCCCCCGATGAGCCACGGGCCAGCGGCGAGGGGGCGGCGACGCGTCGGTGGCGCCCGCCGGCCCTGGGGGAGAGCGGGCGCCTGCCGCGAGCGGGGCGGGCGGCGTCGGATCGATCGAGGGAGCGCAGGTCGAGGACCGCCTCCCCGATCGATTTGATCGATCGAGGAGGCGATTGATCTATCGATAACTCGATCGGATCTATCGACTGAATTATCGAGGAAGCGATTGATCTATCGAGGAGGCGATTGATCTACCGAGGAGGCGATTGATCTATCGAGGGCGCTTCATGGATGCACCTGTGCAGCGCGAGCGAGGTGTCACGGGGCGGGTGCGTAGAGCAAGGTGCGCCGAGGCGCCCCAGCGATCTGGGAGGAGCCCTCGGGGCGCCCGCGGCGAGCCCCAAGGAGCGCCGATCGCTTCCCCGATCGCCTCCTCGATCGAGGCGGCGATCGATCTATCGACTGCTCGATCGGATCGGAGGCGCGCGCGGCGGCGACGGGCCCTGTCGCCGTGCAGAGTCGGCGCGCTCCGTCGCCGGAGCGGGCGGCAGCGGCACTGGGCCTCGCGTCTCGGGGGCGCCTCCCCGATCGACCGATCGATCGAGGAGGCGCTCCCTGAGGCGATCGGCTGAGCAGGACGGCGAGGGGCGCGTCGAGCCTGAAAGTCAAGGGTGCTCTCGTGTCCTCGTGTCCTCGTGTCACGAGGGAGGGCGTGGCCCTGATCAAGAGTATCCCTGTGCCCTCTCAGCTTCGGGCCCACTTCGTTTCGAGGTACAGTGGAAGCCCATGCCAAGAAACACCCTGCTTGCCTCCAGGGTGCCCTGGGTTTCTTGAGTTTCGATGTATTTGCAATTGGAAGCGTGACTTCCCCGTACCAAAAATCAATGGACGTCCTGGGGTCCCAGGCTTGCGTTTCTTGTGGAAGGCTTCTTGAGGACTGGCCTCCACTGTATCCTTGTGTCCTCTCAGATTCGGGGCCCACTTCGCTTCGAGGTAAGCCTGTGATCATCAGCGCCGCGCCCCTGGCGCCGCGGCGAAGTGGTCCTCCGAGTGCGGGCGAGCCCCCCGTGAACCAACGACGTGTTGACTCGTGGCCGCCCCCGCAGCAGGGTACCCTGCGCGTCCTGTATTTTCGGAGGTGGACAGAAGCCCCACCCCCCACCCTGACACGTCGATTAGTGAATTGTCCGTTTTCGGTTCTCGAGAGCGCGCCGCGGCCGTCATTTTCCATGCTTGCGCCGCCAGGTTTGGGCCCGAGTTGTTTCACTGCCCATTCCCCGATACTTGCTCATCCCCGCTGTAAGAACGGTTTGTTTGAAGGCAGGTCCGCCTTCAAAAAACATGCCTATTCTGTAAGAACGGTTTGTTTGAAAGCATATCTGCCTTCAAAAAAAACGTTATTCCAGAGTAGACCAGTTTTGTGGAAAGCAGATCTGCCTTCAAAACAAATCCGTTCTTACAGAGTAGACCGGTCTTTCCTCCTTGCAGGTAGAGAGCGAGTCCAGAGCCAGTCTAGACGCAAGCTTATTCATCGTCGCACTCGGGCAGGGGTCGTGAGGCGCCGCAAAGGGCACCCCCAGCGTCCTCTGCACTGGTTTCACTTCTGGTGGACTCGTGGGAGCTGCAGAGGAGGCGCGCGCTTGGCGGAATCATGCGGGAGCTCGCGTTTCCCGGGGGCTGCCAACCTCGGAATCGTCACCATTTCTTCCAGAGCCCTGAGGGAAGGCCTACCCCAGGCTTGCCTCATGGGCCCTTCCTCTAGGCCTACCTTAGGCCCACCCCCAGGCCTTCCCGAGGCGCATCCTAGGCCTACCCTTCGGCCTTCCCCCTCGGCCTACCCGAGGGTTAGCCCTCCACTCCGTCCCGCCCTCATCCCTTGCACGTCTTGCCCCTTGGGTCCAGCCCGCCCCTCCACCTCATGCCCCTTGCCCGCCCAATCCGCTCATCAGTATCCCTCCCACCTCCTCTCTCCTCTTCCTCCACCTGCCTCCCTCCTTCCGCCGCCCCCTCCACTTCATCTGCTTTGCCCTTCCACCCGTTCCCTCCGTCCACGCCGCTTGCGTCCTCGCCCGACCCAGAGCCTCCGGGCACCTCCAGGAGCGGAGCTTCGCTCAAGATTGCTAAGCCAGGATCCAGGGGCGCTTCGCGCGGGCGTGCGCGCGTGGAGCGTTCTTGTGTTGCCCGGCATAGGGAAGTCGCCATGTTCGTTTGGAGAGTAGAGCGGTGCATTTGCGTTGGTTGGTGCCTAAGTTACTTTTGCTTTTTGTTGATGTTTTCCACGATGTGCTGCGCAGAACGCCCAACGCGCGCGGGCTCGCGCGGGGGATCATGGTCACGCGCGTGCGTGCGTGAAATGTCGTGTATTACCCAGATTCAATCGTCATGTCGGCTTGGGAACTAAACCATTCCATTAGCAGTGGCCGATGTGAGTTTTAAGTTGCCATCAGCTTTGCATGTTGCTTATTGTGGGTTGTGCACAACGCCCATCGTGCGCGCACAGGTGACGATGGTCATTTTCGCTCGTGCGCGCGTGGAGCGTTCCTGTACAGCCAAGAACAAAGTCCCAACACAGGCCTGGAAACCAAAGCGTTGCCTTAGCGGTGACCGATTGGATGTTCAAGTTACCATGATTTGTTGCTCATATTCTTCGCTGTGCTCTGTGCAGAACGCCCAACGCGCGCGTGCGCGCGAGGAGCTTTCCTGTATTGCCAAGTCTGGCGAAGTAACCACGTTTGCCTGGTTAACGATGACCGAATCGATGTCGAAGCTAACGTGGTTTTCGTTTGTGCATCTATTTCATTTGGGCTGCACACGACGCCCACCCCGCGCGCGTGCGAGCATGGAGCGTTCTTGTATTGCCCAGAATTGAGAACCCGAACTGAGAATTCGCCACGCTGGCCTGGAAGCTAAAGTGTTGCCTTAGCAGTGGCCGACGCGGTTTCCAAGCTGAACTTGTTTTTTTTTCTGTGCGTATATTGAATATGATGTGTTGTGTGGAGCGCGCGGGCGCGCGTGGAGCGTTCGTGTAATTCCTAGTGTACGGAAGTCGCCATGCTGCCTGCAAACTCGAATTTTCCGTCAGCGGTGACCGAGTGTATTTCGAAGGTAACATGGGATTGTTTTGATTTGTTTTGTACGGGCTGTACATAGCGCCCAGCGCGCGGGTGACCATGGTCAACTTCGCGCGGCAGCCCTAGGCTTACACTAGGCCTGTTGCGAGGCGCCCTTGTTCTCTGGGCCTCTGCCGTGGCGGCAGGTCGCGCGATTGCCCGCAAGGGGGGGGGGGGGGGGGCACGCGGCTGGCGCGCCATGCTGCATTTTTTGCACGGTGGGTGGTGCGGCCATTGGATGCCCTTGGTGCCATCTTTGGTGTGCGCTCCCCCTCCCCAAGCCTCCGGGTCGGCCGCGAGTGGCCGCGGTCGAAGCCTCGGCAGGGTACCTTTGTGTCTGATGTGTTCGAGGCCATGTTACCGTCGGGGGGGTCTTGTGTCCTGTCGCGTGTCCTGCGCAATCAACTTTGACTGCAGCTCGTGAGGCCGTTCTGGCAACGATTCCGTAACACATGTATTTGTTTCGCGGCTCGGGTTTTTGTATCGGGTTTGGAAGGCAGTGGGCAGCTGTGTGGCGCTCAGCAGCTGGGGTTTTGAGACATGCGGTGATTTGCAAGTTTCTTGTCGTTCCTTTTCCCTCCTCCACCTCTCCAAAAAGACACTGCGCTGGAAACTACATGAAGAATGCGGGGATGGTTCTGGGGCTCAGGGGTTGCAGAGAGAGATGCCTAGGGCACAGCCCCGAAGCCGCCTGCCGCCCAGGGGCCTGGTGGAACGTGCTCTGCCTTCTCACCATCCCCCCCAGCCAGAAAAAGTCTTGTCTCATGGCCGCTTGCATTCTCCACTCGCCAGCGAGGTCATGTGTGGGCAACAAAGACTCTTGAGCGCCAGAGCTCGTGACGTCCCAGTGGCACGCGCATGGAATAACGCCCGCCCAGACACCCACGCATCCCCGTAGCCAGTTTGGCCCGCGTCGTGCAGGTTCGGTTCACGAGGCATGCACGACAAAATTATCGAATGACTCGTGCAACTTCATCAGAGATTACACGTGTGCGAATGTTTGTTGTTTGTTTCTAAATTCGTTCCGGTGCAACATTGCAGCGAACTTAAGTCACGGATATCGTTTAACACTCGTCTTGATCAGCACACAGGTGGCGTCTGAACATTAGCAGTCTCAGCCCCAGAGGAGGTGGATGCGCACTCCTCGTCGTCCCCCCAGTCCGCCCCTTCGACTCGTCCTCCCCGTGTCCCCTCCCCGCCCGCCTCCTGCTTCCCCACAAGAAGGGGATGACGTGGCAGTGGGGGGAGGGAGGAGGAGGAGGAGGAGGAGGAGGAGGAGGAGGAGGAGGAGGAGGACCGTATCAGCCGTGCAGTTCCAGCCTCGGCGCAGCTGAGCGGGTTGTGGACATGTGGCGCCGGGTTTGTGCGAGAAGGTGGAGGATGAGGACCAGAGTAAACAAGATGCATCAACGATGCTGGAACAAACCATTGCCCTTCATGGTAAGCCTCTACGAGTACTCCTTCCCACTGCGGGAGCTTCCCCCCTTGACAGATGAACGCCCTTTTTGGCTTATGATTCAGGCGGGGCCCTGTCTTGATATGGGTTGCGAAGAATCCACCTTCCAATGTTCCGGTGGTAAGACATGCAGAGAGGCAGCGTCGTGAGGTTCAGAAAGGATCTGCCATACATCCGTGCAAGCGCTGCACATCTGCAAAGCTCGCAGGAGCAGAGACGTTTCGAGAGACAGCTCCTTCGTGAAGAGGAGCCGCCCTCCGTCCGTGGTACATCGTGGTACCCTCACACAGCTCGGGTGTTGCTAGAAGTGCCCCTGGCCCAAGGTGCCCCCAGGATTCCCGGGGGGGTCCAGGCGGCCTCCAGAGCACCCCTCACGAGGCCCAGAGGGCCCCAGGGGCTCCAACATGGAGCGAAAAGCTGGGGGCACTTTGGGCCAGGGGCACTTCTAGCAACACCCGAACAGCTTTGATGCTCGGGTTGCATGTGTGTAAGGAAGTCTCAAGGGGGAGCCTAGTTATTTTGAAAAGGATCCGCCCTCCATCCGTGTAGCTGTTCTATGGTTTAAAGACGAGTGTTCGCAGCACCAAGGCGAAAACCCAATGGTCATATTACGGGCCGCCCTCCACCCATGTGAATGCTCCAAGTTTTCTCGACGCATGTGCGCGGCGCCGAGGCGAGAGCCATATTCCCCCAAACACCCCCTCCATCTTTTCAGCTAACGGATGTTTGAGACGAGTGTGCGCGTCGCCAGGGAACGTTGAAGGCGAGTGCGCCCTCCATCTTTGCAGCTAACGTGAATGCTCTAGCCCCGTGTTGAAAACGACCTGTGTCCCACCCGTGTACCTATTGGAAATGTCATACTTCGGGGCCGCAAATTGCGAGGAAGTCTTGGGCGAACCGCCCGGCCCGCCCCAAACTACACGTTCGGTGTTGCGACAGGATGGAGGTGTCTATACGGAAGAGGGATGGAGTGGATGGGGAGGGATGGAGGACGAGGGCAAGGAGGAGAAGGACATTCCACAGGATATTCAAGCGGTGCATGCAGGGTAACCCGGGCCACCCCTGGGAGTCTCTGAGACTAACCCAGACACGGCCAGGACCCGAAGTACTGCAGGTGGCGGTAAAGAGGAGGAGGAAGAGGAGGAGGAGGAGCAGGAATAATAACCGAAGGAGGAGAGGAAGGGGATGGGGAGGGTAAGGAGGAGGAAAAGGGAAGGAGGAGGAGGAGGAGGAGGAGGAGAAGGAGGAGAGCCTCCTTGCCCGTCGATCGCGCTCCCAATGTGCCGACTCCCGTGCGCCGACTCCTGCTTCCAGGCGCGCGAGTACCCCAAGCTGACCGCCGGACGGGCCACGATCGTCCGCAGGACGACACCAAAGTGGGGGGGTGAGGCGGGGAGGGAGCGGGGAGAGGCAGGGCCGCTTACCGTCCGACACGATGCGATTCGATTCGCCGGCTGGGGCCGCGATTCCGACCCGATTCGATTCGGCTCGATTCACCGGCATCGCGGCCAGCTGGAGTCGACTAGACGTAAGAGTGACCTTTCACCAGAGTGACCTTTGATGCGGGTCCAATGGAGTCCCCCGATCGCTGAATGCGAAGCGGTAGCAGCGGCTTGCGCGTCTGGGTTTGGCCATTTGGCGTCCCCCGTTAAGTTGCGTACCAAAGGTCACTCTTGGCTAGGGTCACTCTTGCGTGTAGCCGATGGAGGCCAGGCGCGGCAATCCGATGTCGATTCGATACGCGGCGGTTTGCTGACGATCCGATCCGTTTCCGAGCCGATCCGATGACGCGATTCGGTCCAGCTCAGGCCTGGGAGGGGGAGAGGAGGGGATCTGTTTGCAGAGAGGGGGAGGTGCTGATCCCCGAGAGTGGTGTGAGATGATATGTCAACCTTCCCCGCGACCCCTAACCCCCTTGTGCGCGCCGCCAAAATGGTGTGATATCTGATGAAAGAGAGAGAGAGAGAGAGAGAGAGAGAGAGAGAGAGAGAGAGAGAGAGAAAGAGAGAAAAAGAGAGAGAGAGAGAGATTGAAAAAAACAAGAGAACAAAAATGAGAGAGAGAGAGATAGAGCCCGTTTCTCTCTTCAGATCCGGTAGCCTGCTCTGGCTCCCAGGCCGACGCTGCTCGTGTCACACCAGCTGCAGCCACGCGCCTCTGCCCTGCCCTGTTGCTCTGCTGCGCTCGCTCGACAGGGCGGGAGGGGGAGGAGGCAGGGGCCCAGACCCCCGACGTCGTAACAGGACGGGAGGGGGAGGAGGCAGGGGCCCAGACCCCCGACGTCGCAACTTGCTCAGAACGCCGGGCCCCGCAGGCACCGACCCCTTCCCCGGGACCGGTTATGCGCTCGCTCGAAAGGACGGGAGGGGGAGGAGGAAGGGGCCCAGACCCCCGACGTCGCAACTTGCTCAGAACGCCGGGCCCCGCAGGTACCGACCCCTTTCCCCGGCACCGGTTTTTCATCCTCATCCGTTTTCGACGGCCCCGAGGTCGGGCAAGGGCCCCCGGAGGCCGAAAGCGGGCGGAAATTGTCCGTCGCGCGTTCTGTCCATGACCGCCGCCCCCCCTCGCCGTCGGCTGCGTGCCTCTTCTCCAGCCGCCGCGGCCCGCCCCCCCCCCACCTGCCGCTGCCGGCGTGGACCTCCGCCGGGTCGCACCCCGCCCTCCAGCGCTGCCCCGCCGCGCGAGCGGGCCCGGCGCTCCTTCTTCCCCGCCCTTCGCGGCCGCCCGCCCTGTTTCCTCTCCCCCTTGCATTTCGGGGGGCGGACAGGACCCCCAACAGTGACGCGTCGATGAGTGCATTGTCCGTTCTCGGTGCTCGAGAGGGCGCCCGTGGCCGTTATTCTCCAGGCCTGCGCCCGCCAGGTTTGGGCTTCGGGTCGTTTTCACTAAACCACGTTTTTAAAACGTGGTTTAGTGAAAGAACCCAGCGCCGCTTGTCGACCTGGAACCCCGCTTTAGTAAAACTTTTACTGAAGGAACCCAGCCCGTTGTCTTCTCGCTTGTTGGACAGACCCCCTTTAGTAAAACTTTTACTAAAGGTGGGTCTGTCCATTCCCTCCTGCATGCGGGCTAATTCGTGACCTCGCGCCCTGGCGTCACTTGGACGCGCGTGCGGATTGCCTCTGCCGCGCTGCGGCGTAGAAGCTTCGGCTCGTGACTCGTGACTCGAGGGGTTGTGGGCGGGGCCTCTCCTTCCCCTTCCCCCCGTCACCTCGCCTCCCCCGCCTCCCCCAGGATCTCGCGTCCTCCCCCCCCCCCTTTTCGCTTCTCCTCCCGTGGGCCGCCCGACCGCTCCTTCTCGCCCGACCGCTCGCCTCCCCCGCGTCGCCCGACCGCTCCCTCTGCAGAGGACGGGCGAGCCCATCGTCCACGACGGCTCGGACCTGGTGTACGTCAGCGCGGGGGGAGGAGGGGGGACGCGTAAGACTCGAGCACGCCAGAACTCGGGTTTGCCGACGTGTTTTGACGAGCGCGTCCTGGATTTTGACGGTGCAGTTTTCGTGGGATGTTTGCAGCGGGAGCTCGCGTCAATTTTTTGACTGGGTCTCGTCATTTGCATGCTGGCTCCGTCAGGCCAGTCCGAGTCCCCCGAGCCCGAGTCTTACGTCTCCCCGAGAGGAGAGGGGGATCAGAGGAGCAAGAGGTCGTAATAATGATACGCTCTAGGATTTCCAAGGTTTCCAGGATTTTCCGCATTCCCCAATGTTCCGCACAGGCTGCACCGCTAGATAGTCTGGTGTAGGCCAGCGCGTGGGGAGGACGCCCATGGGCATGGGGATCGGTTCAGCGATGCTCAAAGCCGGGTGCGCTCGCGCCATTTCTCACGCAGAATTCATCAGAGGCGGCCTGAGCAAGCTGCCTTTTAGATTGAGGTGGCATGCGGCGGGAGGAGGCGGAGGGAGGAGGGGCAAGCTGGGTGCGCTCGCGCCGCATCTGACAGCCTACCCCTCCCTTCCATCCCTCCCCGCTGTACTGATCGTGTCTCTGTCCGCCGACGGGTGTGAGAGCGGACCTGGACTCCCCAAATGGACCCCACCGTGTTATGCGCAGACAGAAAAGCGGAGCTGCGTACATTGGAGGAGGAGGTGGCGGAGGAGGAGGACGAGGGGGAGGCGGAGGAGGAGGGGGAGGAGGAGATGGAACAGGAGCAGGAGCAGGAGCAAAAGCAGGAGGAGCAGGAGGAGCAGGAGGAGGAGGACGAGGAGGACGAGGAGGAGGAGGAGGAGGAGGAGGAGGAGGAGGAGGAGCAGGAAGGTTGACGAGGAGAAACAGCAGCAGCAGGAGCAGGAGTGGGAGGAGTGGGAGGGGCCCTGCGAGCTTTTGGCCAGACCCGACGCGAAGCTGTGGCCGCAGGCCTCGGGCCCCAAGAGGCTGGATCCATGCTCCGCTGGTCGGCACAGGGCTTGCCAAACCACCTCTTGCGCGCGCAGTTCATGGACTTGCAAGCGGTGCAGACCTTCGACCATGTCTTCTGCGAACTCTGGGACCGCCTGCTTGACGAAACCCACACGGGCAGGGGGTTGGTTCAAATATGCATGCCGACGAGCCACGACGGGAGGCCGCGCAATCGGCCGCGAGGTGTGCTGTAGCCCCAAATGTCGCGCTCTCCCTCGGCGTGGACAGCGAAGAGGCGCTTTTCGCGAGGCAGGCCACGGGCACCCAAGATTTCGCCAGCGCCGTGGCAGCGTACAGCGCCAAGGTGGGCAACGCAACCCATTACCTGCAGGTTTCGCTGGCGCTCGGAGAGAGGAGCAGGCAAAAGGACTGAATGAGGCCCGCGGTGGACGTCCTTGACACGAGGGCGGAAGCCGGGCTGGACGCCGCACGTTCGGCTGCGTCCAGTCCTGCGGAGGCGCAGGCGCCAGGGCATTCACGCTGCTGCCTACGATGCCAGAGCACGGCGGACGCACTGTCAGAACAAATCCCGTGACGGGCTTGTTCGGAGCGATGCATGAGCCCGACCAGCGCCACGCCATCACATGCGAAACGGGGTCCACCTGCACCGCGCGGAACGACAGCATCCGCGACCTGCTGATGCGCTGGCTGGCCAGGAGGGTCCCTGGTCTGGTGCGCACCGAGCAGACAGTGCCACAGTGGCTCCGGTGGCGCCGACACCCAGCGACGGGCCAGGAACGCCTGGAGCCAGCAATGCTGGACGTCGAATGGGGCGACCAGGGGGCGTGGCACGTCGTGGACGTGGCGGTCAGGAACCCCGCCTCCAGCGAGCCGCGCGAGGAGCGGGCCAGGGCGGTCCACGCAGGCTTGGCGGCCGAGGGCGCCGCGCGCGGCAAGCAGCTGCGGTGCCCGCCTGGGCCGACCACGCCACCGTGGACACCCTTTGCGGTGGAGACAGGAGGCCCGAGTGGGCAGGCCGCCAAGCAGCTGGTCCTGGACAGGTTGGGCCACCGGAAAGGCGAGGCATGCGCCAGCGCCGACGCAACGGCCACTTTGTAAACCCTGCATGCCGACCACCTTGCAAATAACCGTGGCCACCTCGGCCACATCTCTGGCAGGAGCTCTCGGCCACCTTACAAAACACTGTGGCCGAGCAGATCCTCACCTCTCACCGGCCAGTGGCAATGGGCGGCTCTCGGGCGTTTTCGTCGGCCTTGGGCGGCTTTCCAGCCTCGGGGTGCTTTCCAGCGGCTGCACCTTGCCGAGAGCGTTCTGGGGGTGCCCGGATCGTGTCGAACGGCCACCACAGAGCCGAGTTATGACTTGAAAATCACCAGGGACGGAACTGGGCCTGGGGGGAAGTCTCGACCCCCAATCGCCCACTGATCGCCGACAGGGGCCTGATACCCCAACCTCCCCAGGAACGTGCGGATTCACTATCGGGGGCTAATCGCCGATCGTTACCGGCGGCAGAAATAACGGTACCATCCCCTCGTTGTTTCCCTCTCCAGGCCTCTTGGGAGGCCCTCGTCGCCGCCGCTGGAGTCGTTTTGAAATTCAAATTTGGTCAGAAGGCACCCCGGGAAAGTTCCAGGGCGTAGCGGTATCGCGGTGCTTCCTGGCTTCCCCATTTCAGGGTTGCATGAGATTTGGGACATTCCACTACGTGCCTCAAGGCACGGTGGCGGGTATGCATACAACCATCCTGCATAGTACGGATGAACGACTTTCCAAGGCTACCCTCGCATACTTGCGATTTCGGCCCATATTTTGCCACTTTCGTTGGCCAGCCTGGTGCGAGGAAGTTGAACATGGTCGCGCAAAACCTTGCATCTGTACCGCGCATCCTTATCATAGGGGTGGACTGTAAATGACGATGGTGTTTGCGATGGTAATGACCAGAATTGGGGAAGAGACGTAGGAACAGAAGGAGGATATCGCCAGCCGTTCCGAACGACACTGGCCGCGCAGTGTTATAGTTGCCCGCGCTTCAGCCTCACAGCTTGGCGTCCACGTTTCCCATTCCTCGTCGTTCCGTCCTCCTTCGCTGTGTCCCGAGGCCGTTGGGAAGGGGTTTGTTTGACGATTTCGTTCGGCACGGCTGGCGGTGGCAACGCGATGTTTTTCGTTTGATTTCGTCGGCCCCGCTTGTGCGAACCAGTTTTTGACAGCACAGCTCCAATGTTTTCCGTCAACCATCTGCTTGTTGCTGGCCCCCCTTGGCGCGAGGTCGACCACGTCTCCGGCGAGTGGGGGCCGCTGGTGGGGCCGCGCAGCCGCTTATGGTGGCCGGGCATCGCCACAAACCGAACGTCGCAGCCAGACTCAGCCACGCACAGGGGGGGGCATGGTGAGGGGGGAAGGCTCCTCAGAAACACCCTGCTTTTTAGAAGGCGCGGGCCTTCTCTGCAGGTGCAAAGCGCGCGACGTAAGGCCCGCGCCTTCTAAGAAGCGGCCTCCTTCGAAAAGCCTTCCCTCCCTACCCCCCTGTGCGCGCCGCCAACTGTCGCTCCACCCCGTGCAAGAGCGACGCCGGCGCGTCACGCTTGCCCTGCGCTCGTGTTTCGGTGCGTCGGTTCTCACCGTGCAGGGGGATGCGCCACCCCCATCCGCGGGTCTCCGTAGAGTGGGCGATCACTGCCGAGCCAGTTTCGGCCTCCTGGAGGGTTCTGCGCAGCGGTTCTCGGTGGATTCTGGCCAGGGTCGCCAAACGCGCAGTCCGTTTCCTGTGTTTTCCTCCTCCTCCAACTCCTCCTCCTCCCCCTCCTCTTCCTCCTCCTTCCCCTCCTCCTCGTCCTCCCCCTCCTCCTCCTCCTCCTCCTCCTCCTCTCCTCCTCCTCTTCCTCTTCCTCCTCCTCCTCCTCCCCGTCCTCTTACTCCTGCTCGTCCCCCTCCTCCTCCTACTCCTCCTGCTCCTCCCCCTCCTCCTGCTCCTCTTCCTCCTCCTCCTCCTCCTCCTCCTCCTCCTCGTCCCCTCCTCCTCCTCCTCCTCCTCCTCCTCCTCCTCCTCCTCCCTTCCCTCCTTCACAGAGCTCTAGTTCGAATGACCTTCCCCAGGATGTCCCACTCTCCATAGTGGCCCTTTCTTTTTCTGCAGGCCTCAACTGAGGCTTTCATCATAGCGCTGGGGTCGTGTCTCTAGCGCTTCCTCGTTTCCGATCAGTGTCCAGCCGCTGGTCCCAGACATGGGATGTCGACAGCTGCGCCTCAGTCCTCTTGACGGTGGCCCACGCCCCGCCGTACCCTGCCATGCATCCCAGGCGAAACATGGTCGGTTTTGATGGAGACTCTTGCCCTGCTCCAGTTGCCGCCGCCTTGTTTCTGAGGGCCACCCCTCCGACGCAGCACAGTTTTTCGGGATTGCGCCGTGTCCCGGCTCGGCTGGGTGCCAGCCCCCAGTCCTGCAGACCTGGCTCACCCGCAGAGGTGCGAAGATCCTGTGCCGTTTGGCGTGTTGTGTTCTGTTGCATCTTCGGGGGACCTCGCCTGTCCCTAAAATTGGTGTCTTTTTGGGGGCCCGACGCAGGCTCGATGCGGACTCGACGCGGATTTGGCATGGATTCGACGCGGATTCGACACGGATTCGACACGGATCCGACGCGTCCGACATGGATTCGACACGCATTCGACGCGGACAGGGCCGCGACGGGACAGACAAGGTCCCCCGAGGATGCAACATAAGTTGTGGCCTGCGTCGCAGAGCTGGCCTTCTCCCTGGAGGCAGCGCGAGGGCGCGACCTAAGGTGCCAGAAGCCCGCAGCACAGGGCCAGGCAGTTTCCCAGGCGTGCCCGTGCGTTCTCGCCTCTTCGGCCGTGCCTTGCCCTCCTCGGCCCTTGAGAAGTGCAACTTCCAGGAGGGGACAAAAACCCACAGACACAATTCATCGTCGATCCCCCAGAAAACATGGGAAAACATGGGAAGTGGGGGGGAAGACAGAAACCCAGAAAATATGGGAAAATATGGGGAGTCTGGTTATTTGTGTCTATTTGTTTGTGTGTCCCGGTTTCCCCTCAAACTTGGGCGCCCAGGGCCCGTGCGTCCTTACCGCGCGTCCTTCTGATCCCGTGTGACTGCAGCTGCGCGTCGCGGTCTGCGTCGCACGAAGTTCCGTGACCTGGGTGCACCAGCGAGCCGTCCCATGTTCGGGGGCGGAAAAGAGGGGGGTGATGACTAGGGGGGGGTGGATATCATGGCGGGGGCCATGACATTTCCTCAGATTTCATGGCGCCTCTTCTCATTTCATTACGTCCCTGGCCCCCCCGCTGGGCCGCGCACACGCCGCCGGTCATGATTTGCACCCCCCCCTCTTGGACACCCCCCTCTTGGCCGCTCCCGACATGTCCTCGACGCGACCTGCCTGGCCGGCTCTCGGGGCTGTGGGCGCTGCCATCCAGGCGGGGCCAGGGCGGGATGAGCCGTTGCAGAGCTTTCCAGAACGCTCTCAGAGCGTCCAGGACCGCTCTGGGACGGCGGCGGCGCCCGATACGTACGTCTTCCAACGCCGCCAGATCTCAGAGTCTCAGAGATTTCCAGTTCGTCCCGGTCCCATTTTGTCCCCGTCTTGGCTTCGTCCTCGTGAAAAGACAGGCCATGCTCTTTTGTTCGCGCCGTACACAGGTAGCCCTTAAAACAGAAATTTTCGAGCAATACGTCAGATCCCTCCGTGCGATGATAGCAGGGGGGTGCTTTTGTGGCGATAGCCTGGGTTATCGCGCCCCTCTGCCGCCCCCGCTCCCCCCCTGATAACCTGACCCTGTCGGTTGCGCAGGTTCGAAGGAGGTGCGCAGTTTTGGCGCGCGCGGGCATGCGCGGGGCGGCCCGGAGCGAAAAGGCTATGTTATCGGGCGGCACCATCCCCCCCTCTCACTTTGATAAACTGCGAAGCGGTCAACCCGCATGGTAAGGATGAGCGACTTTCCAAGGTTACCCTTGCATCCTTGCCTCCCGTTTTTTTTTCGGTCCATCCTCCACCGCTTCCGAGGGCCAGCCCCGCTCGAAGAGCCTCGGCATGGGCGCCCAAGGCCCTCGTATCCTTAGCGCGCCTCCTTTCTTCACGGGCTGACCGCGTCGCTGAACAAAAAAACGATCTCATGGAGGGGCGCGGCGCTGGGGTGAGGATGTCTCAAGCGAAACGGCCCGAACCATCAGATGTTTGTGAGGATGTCTCTGCTTCCCTTTCCCTCGGCCGAAGTTAGCTTCTATCACAACAGCGCCCCGTTCAGCAAGCTGTTTGGGGAAAAACGGTCTCATGAAGGGGCGCGGCGCTGGGGTCTGCCGCCGGGCGCCTCGCCCGCCCCGCCCTCGGGGAGGTCGGCCGCGGCGGCGCGCGGGGCTCCCCCCGGTCGGCGGCCCTCGGGGGTGGCCTCGGGCGCTCGGGGTCGCTCGCGGGGGCGCGCGGGCGGTCGCGCATCGCGCGCTCGAGGAAGGAAATACAGTGAGCGGCTTGAGTAAGGAACACTTACTTTTCAAAAGGGGCTCAGTCGTTCCTTAAGTTCGAATGCGTTATTTACAGTTCCTTATGTGTTATGTATTGTTTATCGTTCCTTGTGCGTTATTCCTCGTCTGGGCCGATGGCCTGAGTGTATTGTTTTTGTCGCTGGCCCGCCCAGTTTTCCATTTTACCCAGCCTCCGATCATTGTGTTCATTTTGATTTCAGCCTTCATTGATTTCGGCTTCCTGGTATACGGATCGACACGTGCCCCAGAGGCAGGGCCAGTTTCGATTCCTCGGATTCGATTCGATTCGGGTTCGACGGCCTCCGATTCCGAGTTGATTCGGCTTCGGGCTCCGACTTGGGTCCCGCTTTCCCACTAGAGGCCTGCCAGCCTGCCGATTTCCGCCGACTCGACTTCTCCCGATTCGGCCGCCGATCTTCGCCGATCCGATTCGCTTCGATCGCCGACCCGACGTATCGATTCGATTGTGGGCTCGCCTGCGGAAGATTTTGAAGGCCTCGCGGCCAGTGCCGCCGACCCAGAAGGACGACAACGACGACCACGACGACAACGACAACGGCGAGCTGACGACCCTGCCACAGGCTCGGGACGTGGGGCGGGT